GTAAGGAATTCTGTCTGTTATGCAGGTGGAAAAGGGGCCACGAAAAAAAAGAAACCTCTTCGCCTGCGCTGCTTTGTGGAGGTGTTGCGGACGGAGGGCGAGACTGAGGTGCGCCTGCAGGCGGCCCACCGAAAGTAGTTGCCAAACCACTTGGTGTTTGAGTTTAGGGTTTAGGGTTTAGGGATTAGGGATGAGGGTTTAGGGTTTAGGGTTTAGGGATGAGGGTTTAGGGTTTAGGGTTGAGGGATTAGGGTTTAGTTTAGGGTTTAGGGTTTAGGGGTTTGGGTTTAGGGTTGAGGGTTTAGGGGTTTGGGTTTAGGGTTGAGGGTTTAGGGGTTTAGGGGTTTAGGGTTGAGGTTTTAGGGTTGAGGGTTTACGGTTTAGGGCTTAGGTGTTTCGATTGGAAAGCATCCCAGAGACCCGAATCCATGAACAAGCCTTTTTAAAACCATGTCATGGAACGATCTGAAGCTGCTTGTTACCTCAACGGCAGCTTGTAGCCAGACCGTTGCAACATGCACAGAAGCCTGATGCTGTGACACAACACGAGTTTGTAGGCTTTACTGCAAGATTTGCGGTGAAATGCACGAAAGCTTACAAGAAGTGCAGGACATCTGCAAGCCCGAAAGCTCCCTGCCTGAAAACCACAACAACAAAGCAAAATGCTTAAAGCCGGAAGATACAGGCCAAAATGATCAGTACAAGTGCTCCTTATAGTCCTTAGGGTGAGGGCTTTATTAGTCCAGGGTCTACATTTGATGTCGCAGTGAGCGGATCCCAACTTCCGAAACCCGCCTGTTCCTAAACCCTAAACTCCTAAGCCTCTAAACCGTAAAGCCCTAAACCCCTGAACCCTGAACCCTAAACCCTGGACCCCTAAACCCCTAAACCCCTAAACCCCAACCCCTAACCCATAAACTTTAGAAGCCCTATAAACCTAATACGCCCTATAAGCCTTAGAGGCCCCAGACTAGTTCTTCCGGCCGCAATACCTCGGATTCGGCTGTTCAGGTTTAGCCTAGACAGTGTCTTGCAGAAAGATGGGTGGACTTAGGGTTTTGGAGTTTTAGAGTTTAGGCGTATAGGGTTCAGGTTTAGGGTTGAGGGTTTTAGGAGTTGGGATGCCTAGGTTTTCGTTGGAAGTACAAGCCATCAGGAAGCCGAGCCGAGTAGCTTGCAATCTACTTCTCTTGTCAGGAGCCCATAATCTCGGTCCGAGCACTGTGAAATCGATGTCTGAAAACCCTTGAACTTGCGAACTTCCACTTCCATCTATACCCTAAACCCTAAACCCTAAACCCTAAACCCTAAACCCTAAACCCTATAGTCTTTCAACATAGTTGTAACATGCTATTCACGCGACTCATGGACTTCACAGCCTTGTCGGTAAGGAGACTGGGTTCTTGTTAAGGGATTTAATTTAAGTTACCATAATAAGGAAACCATATTATTTACTATAGATCCCTATTATGGTAACTTAAATTAAATCCCTTAACAAGAACCCAGGAGAAGGAGGTCAACCTGTTGCAACGCATTCCGGCTCCTTGGCTTTGTCTTTGCCTTGGAGCTACGTGCTTCCGAGCTTCTTGGGCATGGCGGGCTGCTTTTGAGTGCTGGCGATCGTACCTTATGATATCTATTTCTAAATCTAAATCTATACATCTGTCCAAATCTGCCGGAGTTTCAGTGCACATAAAACTTCGCTTGATGTTTTTTTGGCATCTCAGAAGCAAGCCGCGAAGCACATTCACAGACTTGCCAAGAGAGCCCAATGCCCCTGAATCAAAAATATGCCTTAAACTATAAGGGGCTTGCTATTCTGATTTAAGCTATATTCCTGAATTAAGGGGTATTGGGCTCTCCGGGTAGGATTTAGAGCTGTTAGAGAGCGACATGGGCTGCTTTGCAGGTTTGGAGAATGAGGGCTGTGCACATGGTCTGTGGCTTCCTCGCCGGTATTCACCCACAGAGCCCAATGCACTTTGATTCGGGAGTATAGCTTACATCATAAATTGAAGCCCTTCATAATTAATTTATCTCTCTTACTTCGTTTGTAAGCCACGTATTGCTTTTGTCGAAGAGCCGTCTTTGCAGCTGCGGCCTATGCCAGCTTGGGATTGCGGTTCCCGCAAGGCTCGACGGTCAGTCGACCTAGGCGATTTGAGCCTCAAAGCCCGAAACCCGGATTTAAAGGTTTAATAAGGGTTTAGGGTTGATTGCAAACGTAACCCCGGGTGATTTTAATTCGCTACAGCCACAACCGAACCCCTCAGATCTAAACTCTACACTCTAAACCTACGAACCAGGAGGAGACTCTAGGCAGCATGCAAAAAGGGGGCTTTAACAAAAACAAAAACAGAAACCTCCAAACCAAACCCTAAACCGTACAGCCTAAACCCTAAACTTCTAGCTCTAAACCCTCCAAAAAAACAGCAGAAACCTTTCAACCGACTAGACCCTAAACCCCAAACTCCTTAGCTCTAAACCCTCCAACAATCACGAAGCAAGGAGCGGCTGAAGCTGCAGCTTCACGAGGCACCAGCATGTAGGTAGTTGCCTAAGTTGGGAGCCCTTTTGGGGTCCTTTTCATAAGGGTGCCGTACTATATTGGGGACCTAAACAGGGACCCTAATTTAGAGAACTACCCATTTGGAAATTTCAGGCAGTTTCCAGAAGGCTTGTAGTAGTTGTGGCTACTCTAGTCTTACTAGTACTACTACCGACGACGACGACGACGACGACTACTGCGACGACTGCCACTGCTACCGCTACTGCTGCTGCTCCTGCCCTCCTTGTCCTCCTCCTACTCCACTGCTGCGACTATTGCTACCACTACTGCTACTACTACTACTACTACTACTACCACCACTACTACTACGACGGCCACCACTACTACTACCTGTATAGTGGTGGTTGTCGCCGTCGCCGTGCGTGTCGCAGTCGATGTCATCGGCTGATTACGAATAGCCGATAAAAGAAGCACAGCGACAGTACTTGTACCCTAAGCCCTAAGCTTTGAAACCCTCATCAATGGACTCGACAGCTGCAAGGGTGCTGAAGGAATCCGGGAGACCCCGTAGTTTGTATGCTCCTTTAGATGCTGCTCCTTAGCTCAAAGCTGGGCTATGCCAGCTGCACAATCCTACAGAACATCCCCTCTAAACATTTCAGATGTTCGGATGGGGGGAGGTTCTGTTGGTTTGTTGAACCTTTCCAATCCCGGCCCTCCACCCCCCGAAAAGTGATAACTTATCACTGGAGGGGAAAAGTGTAGTCTATTGGCCAATGCGAGGTAGACCGCTGGAATCCCTACAAAGACTCCGGGATTCCGACGAATATTCTAGGAACATGTTGCTCCACTTTGTCCGAAACGGCTGGCAAAGCTGAAAGCGACAAGTTGTCATGGCACAAAAGGATGAACGGTGATGTAGGGAATGGCGTGAGTTTGGGACTTTGCAAGGGTTTCTGTGGTTTTGTTGCAGGCTGGTATGGTTCTTTGCGGGTTGAAGAGACACCAGAATCAACCCTAAACCCTAAACCAAACTTGCATAAAGTCCTGAACGCGAGGAGATGTACATGCACAGCCTTGTGAGCATGAGCATCTGGCCCACGTGGAGCCACACGGAGGACCAGCTGGTACTTAGCGTTCAAGACGGGCCTGAGGGGCCCTCACCCTCAATCCTTCATCTTGTGTAGGGATCTGAATATACTCGTTTTCCTTGAGGGTCCTGATCGATTTTAAACCCTGAACCCTATATAAACCCTTGAATGTACCCCAAGCCTAACGGCTTCTGTATTATGTTCTCAAGGCAAAGCCATTCACTGAAAACTTTTTGTCGACACCGAGTTGGGTCTCATTCTTGTTCGACTGGAAACAGGGCCTTTCCGGTGTGGCTTTGGGTCATGGGCTTTAGTCCTAGGGCTCTAGGGTTTTAGGGTTTAGGGCTTAGGGATTTAGGCTTTCGGGTTATGGCAAGCTTTAGGTTCGAGGGTTCGAGGTTTAGGGGAAGCCATGCCGCCACTAGTACCAGTTGTTGATGAACCACCTCACACTGTGGCCTAGTTCAAACCGACGCAAACCCCACTCTAAGTAATTGTACCCAGATCTCAGCCGGTGTCATCTCCTACATATGGGTAGTTCTCTGAATTAGGGTGCCTTTTTAGGGTCCTTTTATAAGGGTGCCGTATTATGTTTGGGACCCAAAAGAGCTACGTATCCATGATGTTCGGCTCTTGAAGCTTCTGACAAGAATCTTGACCCGGACCCCCCACCTCTTGAAGCCAAGCTGAACAGTGGGGTTTGGGCTGTGGCTGGGTGACCGATTATGAACGTAGTGGCTTGTTTCGTCGATCTCGTTGCTGAACTCGTTTAGATGATGGATCCGCATCATTATGTCCTGCGGATGACGCAAACCACAAACAACGAACGCTAAGCCCCAAACCGTAAACCTTAAGCCCTAAGCCCACAACAGGATTACTACTTCTTTCGGAACCTGTGCCACAACGCGCTGTTGGAGCACGTCTGCGTATCCGGAGAGGACTTTGATCACCGTTCAAGTCGTGTTCAGGGCTTGCGGCTCAGGATTCATTACTGGTCGTTGCTTAGCGGGGAGCTTGATTGTGGTTCTGATTCGTTCTGATGTCGTTTAACTATGGTATGACTATTCTGATGGCATCAGCTTGCAGATGGCCAGTGGTGTCGCCCGTTTCGACGAGAGATGGCAGAGTGAGGGTTCCGGCAGCTATGGGGATAACCATGGCCGGTGATGTATGAGGATTCGGGAATTCCGATCTTGCTATCTCCCAGTGCTTGAAGACTCGACAGGTACGCATCGCCCATCGGCAATGAGGGCCAGTCAGCCCTGAAACAAGCCCGCAAACCCGAAGCCCACGAATCCCTCTGGGCCCCGGAAACCACGTAATATAGGGGCCTTAATAATTAGAATAGGGTTTGGGGCTCCAGTATACTATAATTATGATAAGGAACCCCCGGAATAGTTTAGGAATTTATGAAGGCCCCTATGTTAACGCCCATTCCTTCACCGGACCTGCAAGCAAAACTGTACATGTACCAGCTCGGAGTATGCAGATGAAATCTGGGAGGTTCCGGCTCTCTCACCCTAAACCCCAAACCCTAAACTCTAAACCCTGAGCCCCTGAACCCCTAAACTTCTAAACCCCTAAAAACCCTAAACCCTAAACCCCTGAACCCCTAAACCTCTAAACCCCTAATATCCCTAAACCCTAAACAACCTCCAAGTCCGTGACTTGGGAGTCGGAGTTCAAATCCCTTTCCGAGCAAATCGGGCTTCCGAGCCCTTGGGCCTGGGCGTAATAGAATAATATATAGGTCTGAGTTTAGGGTCTAGGGTTTGGGGTTTAGGGTTTGGGGTTTAGGGTTTAGGGTTTAGGGTCTAGGGTTTAGGGTCTAGGGTTTAGGGTTTAGGGTTATGGGTCTGGGTTTAGGGTCTAGGGTTTAGGGTCTAGGGTTTAGGGTTTAGGGTTTAGGGTCTAGGGTTTAGGTCTCGGGTTTAGGGTCTGGGGTTTAGGGCTCAGGGGTTAATATAGGGGCCTGAATAATTACCCATACTATTTTGGGGGTTCCTTATAGTATAATTATAGTATAATATACCCCGAAACCCTATTCTTATTGTTAAGGCCCCTACATTAGGGGGCCTCAGAATCGGAAGAGGGCTTTTGGGGCATGTTCAACAACTACATGGGGTTGTAAGGGGATACTACAATATAACTACTAACCGAGTCCCAAACCAAAACAACCCGTGTGGAAAGGGAGATAAGTAGTGGCTACTCGCGCTGCATAAAATCTGCACTCTGGGAGTTCAGTGGGAGTTCCTTACGATTTGGGAACAAATTATGGACCCTAAATAGCACGATCTTGATTGCACGTACGGCCCTGAGTTTGGCAGTCCTACTCTATCAAGGCTCTATGTGCAGAACCTACCTGGGTCATTTCTGGGAGCACTGAGCTTCAAACCTTGCTCTCCTGAGAGGATGCGTTCATGCCGACCACGCAATGTGATGAGGTCTACGCTGCCTTGGCTCACAAGTTCGGGTGTTCAAGCTTCCAATATCCCTTAATTTCTGGAGTCGCTAATAGGAATCCCTACTTATTCTGACTTCAGGTATCTTAGTCGATTGCCTGATTAGGGGATATTTTAAGTCTCTTGCGGTTTTGTGGTTCGGGGTTTCGGGACTCGCTTTGAAGTCTTCCCTAAACCCTAAGCCCTCGAGGGTTTCGGCCGTCTTTCGAACCGTGGCTCTTTGAGATCATATAGGGGCTTAAAGAATTATCAAAATTGTTGCTTATGATAATTATATTAGATAGTATGATAGACACCAAAACCCTGTTCTAACTATTAAGGCCCCCTATCTTAGGGACTTTTTCGGGCTTCTGGGGAGGACTTCCCGTTTCCTCGAGTTGAAGTTCGAGTTTGTGGGTGCCACATCCACCGTCCAAGATGAGCACCCAGAGAACCCAATACCCCTTGAATCAAGGAATGTACTTAAATCATAAGATCAAGGCCCCTATAATTTAAGGTATTATTCCTTAATTCAGGAATGTACCTCAAATCATAATATTAAGGTCCCTATATTTTAAGGTATGTTCCTTATTTAAGGGGTATTGGGTTCTCTGGGCCGGGAGCATCGATGACAGGAAGTCTCAAGTGCGGTGAAGCACCACTGTCTCCCTCTCACATCCCGCTCGAAAGGACCTCTACACAATATTCCTTGAAGTGGTGGTACCCGACACCAATCGCCTGGGTGTAGGCTCAGAGAGAAGAGGGCGGTTTGGGGATGCGAATTTAGAGGACACGCTAGAATGCAGAAGAAGATGGGCTTAGGGTTTATAGGGGTTATAGGGTTTAGGGATCTGACAAAGACAGGACCGTCTTATCAATAGTCGTCACTGTTTTGTTTCTCTGGCGTCTTCGTCTGGATCTTCCACATGTTGTTCGTCACAGCACTTCGGATCAGCACGCTCCGTCAACCTTGACTCACATAAGCCCCCTAATTAGAGGTATGGGGTTGAGGCGACAATTTGTTCGGGCCCCTATGTGGAACTCGAAACTGATGGCGGCATGGGGCTCACATACACTCAGCTGAAAAAGATGTTTTTATTTTGTACTTATGTAGTAAGCTATTGTCATCACCCTGTCCTCTCACCCACTTCAACCAAGTGCTAGAGCTCTAGGTTTGAAGTTCAGGGTTCTCGGCTACGGGCGACCTTCCCCCAGGTTCTCCAGTTTGGCTGCATGGCCTATCTCACAGGCTCGCCGAGCCCTCATACCGAATCACCGCGGATTTCGCTAATTCCGAGGCTTCCACGCCAGGAGTCCTCTTGTCGGGGACCTCGCTGAAGCAATCTCGTAGCTTCAGATCACCAGTTGTGGCTCAAGTTGAACTCGTCTTGGAGGGATTGCAGGAATCCGGGTTTAGGAGTTTGCGACTTCCAGCTGCTTTGGGCAACACCCTCAAGCCCAAACCCCTAAACCCCTAAACCCCCAAACCCCTCAAACCTAAACCCCTAAACCCCTAAACCCCAACATCACTTATTGCTGACGTCGTTGCAGCGTCCGGCGAAGCGGGCGCAGAACCCCGAGCCCAGTAAGCCCTATCCCGAAGGGTCCATGTAATATGGGGGCCTTTATAATTATCTATACTACTATTACCTATACTATTTGGGGGGGGGGATCCTTATTATAGTTGTAGTATAATATGCCCCAAAACCCTATTCTAATTACTGAGACCCCGATATTATCCAACTAGTATATACTCTGACCCCAAAGTATTTATATAGTGACAACTTTAAGACCGGCGTATATACTGTTTGGGTACATGCACCTGTAGGGTATCACAGAGCTATGCCACGAACCGAGAACATGTGCAATCCGATCTGTGAAGCGCTCGGTTTAGAGCGGTTCAAGATGCTTTGGTGAAAGACATCAAGACTTCCTACAGCATTGGTTTGGGTTGAGGGTTTTATGGTTTTGGTTACACCCTCCTCTCTGATGTTCGGGACGGACAAAGCGGAGGACTCTGGGTTTTGGGACATCTGATGCTTTCGGATTTAGGGTTTAGGGTTTAGGCTTTTTAGGGTTTAGGGTGTTATAGCGAGGAAGGTCGGAGAGGTCTCGAGTGTGTTCTCCTTGTCAGGGTTTAGGGTTTAGGGTGGATTGCATGGTGAAAAAAACCCGGTACCTTGAGTCTGAAAGCCCTTAATTCCTTAAACCCCTGTGCAGGGAGACGAGAGGACGTTTTGGCATCAAGGGGGGAGGTGTTCTGCACCTCAGCTGGAGCCGAGATGCGCTGCTTAGGACATATAGGAGTTTCATCAACCCCGTTAATTATACCCTGACAAGTCTATAGCCCTCAGCCCTAAACCCTTAACTCACAATTCACAACCCTAAAACCTTTAGAAACCCTGGATTGTTAGAGGCCTCTCTAGTCCCTCATGCCCAAGGGACGCGCTTTAGGCCTTTGGCATTTAAGGTTCAGGGTTACGTACTGTGCGTGATGACACCCTAAACACTAAACCCTATTTAGACTAGACTGTAGGCTCTTCTGATCCTGAGACATGCTACGGAGCCTATGTTATGATACGAACCCTGCCTAGCAACAGCTGTCGTCGAAGCCTCTTCAAATACAGAACACCCCAGACTCTCAATCTCACACCCTAAACTCTACCTATAGTCTCCATGGTAGTTCCTTTTTTGTTGATCCAAGTTTATAATTAGGATTCGATAAAGTAACCCCGAAAAGGAACTACAATGGAGACTATAGGTAGACTCTAAACTAGACTCTGAATCCCAAACCCAATGCCCTGAACCGAGACATGCCCAGACAGGCCTAAGCAATCTTTCATCCCAAGCTCAGACGCGCCGTGCAGAAAGCCTGTATTTTCAAATCACGGAATTTTGGACGGTAGCGATAGTTCCAACAGCAAATAAAGCCCCAAAGAGCAAACCAGGGAACTTGAACGGGCAACAACTATATCTATAGTCACCATTGTAGTTCCTTTTTGGGGTTACGTTTTAAAACCCTTAATATATGATTGGTTAAACCAAAAAAAGGAACTACAATGGAGACTACAGGTTGTTAGTAACAACAACCCGACAATCCAATAACCCGAACCCCACAAGTCGAAACCCTCAACCCTCAACCCTGCGCCTCATATCAAACCTGCGCAAGAGGCATAATATAGGGGCCTTAATAATTGCCTATACTATTCTGGGGGGCTCTTTGTTATAATTATAGTATAAGATACCCCAAAACCCTGTTCTAATTATTAAGGAGCCCTAATCCCTGAACCCCAAAGCCTACATTAGCGAGACCCATCCAAGGTATGCCAGCTCTTTGGACGGAGTGGTACCACCACGGTCGGCTCACGGCGCAGATGCTCGTCGTGCGCTTTAGGGTTTAGGGTTTAGGGGTTTTGGGTTTAGGGTTCAGGGTTTAGGGGTCATGCACTCGGGATGGCATCCTCGATTTTCGAAAATACCGAATCGTAGAGTGAGCCTGTCAGCTCTACAGGGTTCTAGTTCTAGTGGTTAGAGTTCACGGCTTGTCGATCTCGAATCTTCAAAACACTATGCCTGGCCTTCTCCGTTGCAGGGCTCCCTGCTCAAACGGAATGATGGGAGCAAGGCCGTCCCCCCTCTCCAGAGACTCCAATGTCCCTTAATTAAGGAATATACCTTAAATCATATTAGGGCTCCTACTATAATTTAAGGTATATTCCTCAATTAAGGGACATTGGAGAGCCCTAATATAATTTAAGGTATATTCCTTAATTAAGGGACATTGGAGTCTCTGGGTCTTAAAGCTTCAAGAGGTCAAGCATTTCCTGGGTAACCTGGCATTCTGGTTCTCCGGGTTGGCCCCTAAGCCCTACCCATAGGCCCCATAGTAGTTCCTTATTGGGGTTACCCTTTTGGATTCTAGATATGAACCCCAAAAAGGAACTACTTTAGGGCTTATGGGTAAGCCCTAAACCCTAAACCATGGCCCCCGATGTACCCCAAACCCTAAACCCAAAACCCTAAACCCTAAACCCACAACCCCAAACCCTAAACCCTAAACCCTAAACCCTAAACCCTAATCATCCTACTACATGTTAATTTTCCGGAACCGGAAGGCCTTGGTCGAGATTCTCCACGGACCGGGTTAAGGGTTTAGGATTTGGGGTTTAGGGTGTAGGGTTTTAGTATTTAGGGTATAGGGTGTAAAGGTTTTAGTATTTAAGGTATAGGGTGTAGGGTTTAGTATTTAATTAGGGTTTAGGGTGTAGGGATTAGGATTTAGGGTTATCGCTTAGGGGTTCAGGAGTTCAGGGCCCTAAAACGAGCAAATGATGCCAAGAGAAGATTGTTCTTCCGTACGCCCGGGCTCTAAGGCAAACCCGACACACCGGGCGTCAGCAAAGTTTCACCCCAAGGCCACAAGAGAAGGAATCCATGAAGTTTAACTCTACCATCCTCAACGCTATGTGGCCCCGAGCTCGAAGCACGGAAGCCAAGGACCCACACTATTTTGTGAGGTTCCTTATTCTAATTATCGTATAATCTACCTCAAAACCCTATGCTAATTCCAGGAAAAGGGCCCCTGAAGGGTTACAACTCAGAATATCCACAAGCCTGCAGCCATAGATCCTCAGTTCCCGGTCCCGAAGACCCTAACATAGGGGCCTTATATAATAATTACCTATACTCTTTTGGCGGGGTTCCTTATTATAATTATATAGTATAATATACCCCAAAACCCTATTCTAATTTAATTTATAGCATATATATATATATATAGCATACAGGGTCCCCAACTCTATTCTGAGTATTAAGGTCCCTACATTACACCCTAAGCCTCCTGAATTCCAAAGGAAGGGAGCTTGCTACTATTTGGGCATCAACTGCTCGGAGTTTGGATGCTTTGGCTGCCGTTTGAAGGGTTGCGCATCACGGGCTCTGCGGTCAGATGTTGTGTTCTTTTACGGACGGTTTCGGATGTAGGGGTTGAGAGCTTCAGGGGATGAGGACTTTACAGCTCGACTGAAGAATGCTCAAGGTTATTGATCCATTGTGGTGTCAGTTGCCAGGCTGTATAAGGTCACGGGCCGATCAACATTAGGTTCTTGTTTGTCGTTGGGGTTTGTTTTAGTGTTGTTAGTCTGTAGTTTAGGGTCCGGTTTCACACTTCGGTCAAGTTGAGATCATTGTAGGTGTGGTCAGAATGAGCATAGCAGCACCCAGTAAGCAGCAAGTCATGAGGTGTACCCATGATGGCAATTTTGCAACTTGCACCGGTGCGCCAGTCTGCTGTTCAAAGCCTAGCACTGGCACTACACGTGACGATATTGCCAACTAACGAACTCGTACAAAAACGAACGCCGATCATGCTACTAATGTTGTTCATCATCGGCAAGATTGTGAGAATGTGTGCGTCATGTATGATGATGGTTGCAGGGACGAAGTGAGCTTATGATCACGTACAGCATCAACCCATCGGAAACCTACTGTTTCTTTTCTTTGACCTCGGGACCCTAGTGCTCATGAACAGCAAGTTCATAGCATAGAGCTGTCTTAGTCACTAGTCCATGCATGCTCGCACGCGTTGTGTTCGTATGAAGGAGGGCCTTTGCTGTGATTTCAGACATCTCCCAAAAGCCTTCTGAACCCGGGAAGCTCCGGGAGACTGAAACTCTTCCGTCTTTTCCTGACATAAAGCAGATACTCCACTAATTACAAGGCCTCCAACCTAGAAAGAAGATCCTGAGCTATCTTCGTAAGGCAAGATTGCCATCTCGGTGGGCGGACCGCTGTACCGGCACTTGCAGTTCCTCGTCACATCAAGAATTTCTATCAGAGGTAAGTTGCGCCACATCATGTCAGGTGTTCTTTGCATGCATATGTATGCATGTATGTATGTATGTATGTATGTATGTATGTATGCATGACGGTATATGTGTTTGTATATATATGTAAAAGTAGACAGCTATACATACACATACGTCTGTATATATATATATATATAGAGAGATTAATCTATTTATGTGTTTATTTATTTATCTATTATTTTGTTTTGTTCATGCAGGCGTATAATATATGCCTGCGCACAAACGCATGTATGCTTATCGCAAGGTCCAGGATGCACCGTGGCATGCAAGTGGTACCGTATCTGCACTTCCGGAGCATTGGAGTCCCCTAAAAGGCATTCATGTAACACGGGGGACTCAACAATCAGAGTAGGGGCTTGGGGTTTAGGGTTTAGGCTTTAGGGTTTGGGGTTTCGGGTTTCGGGTTTCGGGTTCACGGTTTAGGGCTTTGGGTTTAGGGTTCAGGGCTTGAAACTAAATTGCAATGAACCCTGTAGACAAGGCGTCTGAGCAACTCTCCCGACAGTCCATCGATTTCCTGTGCTTAGAGTTTGCTTTTAGTGGTCCCGTTGGTGCGGATTTCAATCCTATAAGCCTAAAGCCTCAACCCCAAACCGCACACCTGCGTCACTCGGCGCACAAGCCCAGAAATCTGAGACTGATCCGAAAGTCTTGGTACTCCACTACAAGGCCGAATCGAATAATATCATACTTCAGGATGTTCCTGCCAGGAAGTCTCCGAGGATCCGCCAAAAAATACCGACGACTGCATAAATTGCATTGTCTGTTTTCCTTAGGAGAGTAGGGCTTAGAGCACGCTGGACAGTTTGATTACTGCAGCAGCATGCAAGTTTCTCACTGACTGTTTATCTAACTGCCAAACTGCTTGCTTACCTATCGTTTTCGAGCCTCTATAGTACCAGAGTGCAAGGATCTTTGGCATCCTACTCATTGGCCAAGTGGAGGACCGAGTGGAGCAAGGACTGCTAGCAGCCTGTCCCGCAAGAAACCTGAGAAGCCCCAAACCCTGAACCCTAAACTAAACCCTAAGCCCTGAACCCTATAACCTAAACCCCATGACTGTAAACCCTATGACCCTACACCCTACATAGTCCTCAACACCCTATATAAACCCTAAGCCCCTTACACCCTGAAGCCTAGAATCCCAACACTCCATCCTACACCCTGCGCCGAACTAGAGGAACTGAGGGTCAACCCTATTTCGGCCCTATTGACCCTAAATCCTACCGCTTGTACCAACTTTTAAAGGAGTTAATGTAGGGGGCCTATATAATTACCAATACCGTGTTGGGGGTTCCTTAATATTATAAGCATAAGGTTTAGGGGGTTAGGGTCCAAGGATTTTAGATCTGCGGGCTTTCAGGATTGGAGATTGCAGAACGCGGACATAACAACCTGACTATGTTTAATTGTCCCTTGAGATAGCAAGGAAACTGCCCTGAACCCTAATCTCCTAGTATCGCGCAAACCGGCCAGCCCAATGAATCCTATGCGCCCGAAAACCACGGACCGTGTAAGCCCTACACCCTAGGCCCTGACCCTAGTAAGCCATAACTCGCTTCTCCCTGAAAAGCCCATGAGCCGTAAATCCCTAAACTGTCAGAGTTCATGTGCTTTGCAATACTTTGCTTTAGCTTTGTAGTGAAGGACTGGGAAGACCGTCCTCTTTGTTTTTTTTCGTGTGTTGCCACACAAGTTGTCGTCTGTTGTAGAGCTGAATAAGGGGTATCTTGCTTTGTTGTATAGGGTTTTAGAGGTCATAGGGAAGGGCCATGTTCTTCGCACCGGGTGCTCCCAAAGCATCCTGTGTCGTTGAATAATATAGGGGCCTTAATAATTAGAATTAGAATAGGGTTTGTGTGTATATTATACTATAGTGATACTAAGGAACCCCCAAAACCCTATTCTAATTATTACAAGGCCCTACATGATTTGGGTGTGGGCCGCGCTGGGCCCAGAACTGAGCCCATGGGGTCGACTCAGGGTGCCCAGATTGAGGAGTAGTCGGTTCAAACCGGTGGTTCCAAAGGGGCTAAACGGAACTGTACACCCCGCAAAACCAGCATTTACAGCCTGATAGCTCATCTTCTTTCGTCAGAATCCCTAAACCCTAAACTATAAACCCTGAACCCTCAACCCTAGACCCTCAACCCCCAAACCTTCAACCCTAAACCCTAAACCCAAAACCCGTCCCAACTCCGAAGATAAAAAACTATGCAGGCTTCGGCCGCTTGAAGCCAGCAGGCAAAGGTCTGCCAAGGAGCTGGCATATACTTAATATAGGGGACGAAGTAATTACCCATACTATTTTGGGGGTTCCTTATTAGAAGTATAGTATAATGGACCCCCAAAAACTCATTCTTCTAATTCTTAAGGCCCTGACAGTACAGACCAAGACCGTGGTTTAGGGTCTAGGGTTGGCTAAACTGTTTGTCACTGGAGCAGTATGGGACTGGTCAAGCAGGTAAGTACTGTAACCCAGGCTGGCGTGAACCCAATTTACAATAATACCAACCACGGGAGCGTAACAAGCCGCCCTTTGATCCTCGAACCCACCCACACCCTCAGACCAACGACCCTGATACAAAGTCTCCCAAGCCTTCACCCATCAGCTACGCAGTATATATTATATACCAATACCCTTTTAAAACTATTACTGCCCCAATACCCAAACCTGGTGGATTCCTTAATGGAACCCTGAAAGGAACCCTCACAGGAGCCTATAAAGGAACCCAAATATTTCAGACGAAGGTGACTGACCGCCTGCTCGAGGGTGGTGAACTGCAGGCCTGTGTTGGGTGTGGGGGTTTTAGGGTTTAGGGTTTAGGGTTTAGGGGTCAGGGTTTGGGTTTAAGGGTTTAGGCTTTCGGGTTATACAAGGGTTTACTTGGGGGTTTACAGGGATAGTTTAAAGGGCTTATGAGGGTTGTGATTTGATGAGACCTTACAGAGGTTACGGGGGCTTGCAAGGGCACTGATTCGGGTTGTATAGCTGTAAACCCTAATCCCTACACCCTAAACCCTAAACCGACTAGATTCAGAAGGCATCCCTGAGTTGACTTCTGTTTAGCTGCCGCTCACCTGTGTGAAAAAGCAGGGCTTAGAGCATTGCTGTTCCGGGTTGAAGGTTCATGTAGCTATTGTGATTTTGCTGTTAGGAAGAAGAGAAAGGTACGTCTGAGCGTACTATACAGGTAATATTCCTCTTCTTAACTCTGCCAGTGCAAGAAAATATCTATTCCTACTGCTGGTTGCTATGTTTCATTAGCAAGATAAATCGCCCATTCAGCGGTAACCTGCGGCAGGACCTGGTTGCCCGAGCGCAGAGATTTGCGCCCCTTTGGCGACACTGAGTCAAGTGCGAAAGTCTTAAAGTAAGGTGTGGGGGATTTTTGAAGTTCCCCATCGAGAACTGTCCTTATCGCCAATTTTCTGCACAGGGAGAGTAGAGAGAACCTTGTACTCGGAGGTTCATGGCTAGATCCTAGATTCAGCTAGAAACAGAATCCGAGAAAGGGCAGTGCCGTCCTACAACAGACCTGCCAAGGTCCCTCGTGGGCGCAGACGGGGCGCCCCAGAGCCTATCATCGTTGCGGCCCAGCGAGGCATTGACGCGACAGGTTAAGACTTCTCAGGGTTTCCTTATTGGAGCTATAGTATAATGTACCCCAAGACCCTATTCCATTTATTGAGGCCCTCCTGTTTTAGCAGTAAATCATGTGACTTTCAGCCAACTACACTGCCGGGCGTGGGATATAAGAGTACGGCTTCAGGCAGTAATGAATTCTTGTCGCAGTCTGATTGTTATTGACGATGCGGTTGCTGCTGTTGCTGTTGCTGTTGCTGCTGTTGTTGCTGTAGTTGCGGTTGCGGTTGCTGTCGCCGTCGTTGTTGCTGTTGAACTGTTGCTACTGTTGTAGCAGGCGCCGCTGGTGGTGGCGGTGGCGCAGGTTGGAGTTGTTTCTTGTTGTCGTTGTAGCTGATGTCGATAATGCGGAATTTCCTGCTGCTGGTCATGTTGTTGTTGTTGTTGTCGCTACTGGCGATGATGATGATGATGATGATGATGGTGATGATGGTGATGACGATAATGATCATGATTATGATCATGATCAAGATTATGATGGTGGTGGTGGTGGCGGTGGTGGTGGCGATGGTGGTGATGGTGGCGACGGTGAAGATGATGGTGGTGATGACGACGATGTTGTGAAGTTGTCACTGTTGCTGGCGGTGCTGTCATGGCTGCTAGTGCTGCTAATTCTACCGTTCACGGCTCAACATTGCCGAGGGCTAGTGCTAAACGAATAGGAGCATCAATGAATCGGGCATCTGCTGGCTAGCTTTGGACTGAAACTGTTTTTGCTAAGGCGGCCTGGGCCCTAACTCAGCCTGTCTTACCCTCATTTCATGGCTTGTTGCCGACATTGTTCTCAGGAACCCAGTAGGTAAACTTTAAACTTTTTGGTATATTACACCCCCTACTAAAAGAAAAGTTTAAACTTTTTGGGGCCAGGGTACTGGGCTTCAAGGTGTTTCAAGTCGTCATGTGAGATTGGCACCCTGAACCCTAAACCCTAAACCCTAAACCCTCATTTAAGGGTTGTTGCCGACATTGTTTCAAGTCCTCATGTGAGATTGGCAGAGACCGAAGCAAAAGCTGCTCCCTTCCGCACCACCGATGAACTGTTCCTCCGTCCCCCCAAGCACTAGAATCCTGCCTTAATAACAGGTGCCTTAAATAATTCGAATAGGGTTTTGGGCTCCTTTATACTATTATAATTATAATTATAGTAAGGAACCACCAAAATAGTATTGGTAATTATTTGGATTTAGGCCCCTACAGTACCCTGAATCCCTAAACCCTAAACCGCTAAACCCCAATCCCCGAAACCCTAAACCCCAAATCCGCACAGTCTTTACTGGATCCCCCGACTGCGAGCTTGGCGCCAGGTGAACACGGCTCCTTCGAAAAAGGCCTCCACTGAAACTTGGTCTGGACTTCGACCATTGTAGTTCCTTTTTGAAGTACGTAGGAGCCTAGATAACCAACAAATGGAACAACAACAGAGACTATAGGTAGAGTTTAGGGTCTAGAGTTTGTGTAAAGCTCAAATTGGGGTTTGCAGTTCTTCATGAATGGCTAGCACCGGATGTCGGGAAGGTTATTGCAGCATGTGTCCATGGTGTCAGCCCCCGCCCCAAAGTCCCTGTTGATGTACGGCTTCTAACTTCTAACCCTAGCCACGACTTTTAGTGTTGCTGTGTATGTAAAGAAAAGTCTGTGTGAGTGTGTGCTGTTCCTTCTCGGTGCTTCAAAGCAGATTGCAGCTTTTCAGATAATATAGGGGCCTAAATAATTCGGGGCTTCCTTATTACAATTATAGTAGAATATATATATATATATCTATCTATCTATCCCAAAACCCTATTCTAATTATTAAGGCCCCTACAATTCATCGACATGTCAGGTTTGCAGCACTGTCCGCCACGATCCTAAGCTCCGAATCCGAAACCCTCAGTCTCAAATCCTCAAATGGGGGTTTCCGAAAATAAGGCACCCTAATATAGCACCCTCAATAGTAGGATCCTCATTATAAGGACCCCAAACTCAGGTACCCTAATTTTCTGGAAATTCCCAAATAAAAAAAGTACGGGAGAGGGTTCGGCTAGGCCAGGAGTGGGAGCCGAGAGAGGCCTAGAACGCTCGAAGCCACACGATCGTAGCGCTGCCTGTTCAGATCCTATGGGTACTATAGAAGCCTAAATAGTTACGAATAGCAACTGTATTCCTTAGGCTTCCTTAGTATAATTATACTGCAAAGACCCCCGAAGCCCTATTCTAATAATTAAGGCCCCTACATATTAGGGTTCAGGCCTCAAGGTCATGAGATCATGGAATGGGGCTCTCTGACAGTTCAGAGTTGGATCGAAGAGCAGAAGGTTGTTTCGGCTTGATTGGTTTGGCTCTAGTTTCAGTGCTGCGTCCGAAGTATCACAGACAGTTGTATATAAGGTTCTGGGTGGGATGGTCGTCTGTCTGAGGCGGTGTTGAACTTTTTTGCGGTGCCGAACATACTGGTTCTTGCAACCAGACTTCACCTCGTGCTGAAGACTTGTAAACTCCTTTCGTCGTTCATAAGCCTTCCGTAGAAGTACAAAGCTACAAACCGAATTCCTGATACGTCGGGCTAGGCCTAATGCGTGTCTGTCAGCTTTGGCAAAGTCGTCGTTCGGATTTCGGCTGAGTTTGGCGGTTTTCTGGGACTGGGGCTGCTTCGGTGTCAGGGCTAGGCCGGGATTTCGACTTGAGACAATACCCTAAGGGCCCATGTACTCAAACAGTATATACCTTGGCCCCAAAGTACCAATATAGGCCTACTTTACGGCCAAAGTATATACTATTTGGGCACATGGGCCCTTAGGGATATTTGGAAGAGCAGTAATAAAACCCTAAACCCTAAAGCCTCAATCACTTCTAGAATCCCGAGCCCGATCCATCCCAGGACGATGGCGGGCCTGTTGTTCGTCACAACTCAGACACCTTCAAAGTCTGAAAGAGCGGTGTGTACATTAATGGTGCAGTTGTATAAATTGTACAAGTCGACAGAACCTGCAGACGTTTTTGTTTCATTCCGCAGCTTCGGGCCTCATTTCTGCTGCTGCGTGTGCAGTTGCTGTAGTTGCTGCCGATGTTGTTGTTATTGTGGGAGGCCTGTGTCCCAAAGCTGCAGATGTCCGAGACTCCATGCGCCGTCCGGCTTAGCCAGTTTTGTCACTCCGTGCTCCCTCACACCAGCCCTGACAACCAACCCAGCAGTCTACAGACAGCGGGGTACAGCTAAAGCAAGCAGGCTTTAGGGCCTACATCGGCGATTCACTGCGCCTGAGTCTCCGTCGAATGATCGCGGTGGTGTAAGCAGCCTACACCCGAACACAGTCATGGCTTCCTGCATGCAAGGAGCGTGGCTTTGATCCCCAAATCCTAGACCAGCCTCTGGTCAATCTCTATCATAGGGGTGGTTTTCTTATTGTCATTATTGTTGTTCTTCTCGGTATTATCAGTATTTGTGTTAAAATGTTTCTTCTTCTTGTGATATACCGTTATTATCATTATCATCATCATTATTATTGTTATTATTGTTATTGTTTTTTATGATTATTGTTATTATTACGGCTAGATAGTATTCTTATTATCATTGTTATCATGTTTGCCTTCATCCCGGCTCCTCGCATGTTCGTTCAGCGAAGCGTCACAGTTTAATTCGCCCGTTTGCACTTAATGGTGCTGATGGCTGTGGCTGGCGTAGTACTTGCAGTGCCACGGAACTCTTGCACGCTAACACTCCACATCCCATGAAGCACCAGCTTACACCCGGTACCTGCAGTCTGCATACTATATACAGCAAATCATCAGATGCCCAATATCTCAGGCCCGAGGCCGACATCCTAACCTCTCCATTGTCCTGCGCAGGCCATCCACGAAGTGTGCGTCGTGGTCGTCGGTATCATCAAACTTTGTCATACCATGCTATCAATTCAATATAGCTGGCTGAAGTAGCTCCAAACGTTCTAGTTACTACTGGCTTGGCATCGATCTCCAAGACGTTCCGAGTGGCCCCTTACGCTGCAGCAGCAACCTCCGATCGGAGAACGTGATCGCTGCAACCGAGTTCTGCAAAAGAGGTCGGGCGACATCTCCCGCAAGGGTGGTGATGCTAGAGAAACTCCTCTCGATTATCAGCGCCGTCATGGTTGCTATTAGTTGTGCAGAGTCTGAAATGTAGCCTGCATCCTTGGTTGAAAAGTAGCTTCAATGTTGAATCGGCTTATGTTGTGAGCTTTGCATTGCAATTCTGCCGGGTTTCAGGCAAACTGTTGCACATCCTCTGTCAGCATGTCCGCCTATTTCTGTCTGCTCTATTTCTGATGCAGGCGAAGCCTCTTTTGGGGCAGCTTGGACATCATCAGATGTCGTTCGCAACTGATGCCTTGATAGCTGTGTGACAGATGCCGACCCTGCTTCGAAATCGGCCCAGCTGTAGCTAGGTAGAGGCTTCCTTGCACGACAAGGTCGCGATGAATCCGAAGTGAGCCCAAAGTCACGGCAGAGGTTCGAGTAGATTTAGCCTACTAGTACGTACGTGTTTCTCGATTTTCGCCACGCCAGTCGGAGTGCCACAAGCATCGGAGCCACGCACAATTAGCAATTCCCCGACCATACCGCGAAGTCGAGCCTAACGCCCGGAAAGGTGCACTGCACTTGGTTGCGTTAGCGCCGTTAGCAACCGTTCTTGGCAGCTGATGCTCCAGTTCAGCATAGGCATGGACTGTTTAAGTGCAAGCAAGAGCATCTTAAGCCTCCCTGCCCCGTGCTGGCCCGGAAGCCATGGATGAAGGCATACGGATGCCCTGCGAGTTTCCTGCAGGGTTTAGGGCTTAGGGCTTGCCTGGTCGAGAGTTCACTGTCGAGGGCTGGCTAGAAACCCTTATGGGTTTTGGACCGGGTCTCGGGCTTTGGGTCTACCTATAGTCTCCATTGTAGATCCTTTTTTGGGATACCTTATAGGATCCTAATTATAAAGCTGGTTAAACCAAAAAAAGGAACTACAATGGAGACTATAGGTAGTCTTAAAGTTCAATTTCACAAAAACAGGGTCAAACAAGCTATATTTGTCAGGTTCCGTAGCAACACTAGCGAGGTCGTCACAAAAATCGCACCCTAAGCTAAACAGATTGTGAGCAACACACACACACACACAGTGCGGAAATGTTTGAAGGGAGGGGGGCGGGAAACTGTTCCGGTTGTACCTTGTTCCCATAGGTCCACCAACATCTGCTGAAGTGGGGCTCGCAGGTGATTGCTGCACGCTGTAACCGTTCATTTTGAAGCACTAATGTATATTTCGTTATATTCTATGATTATATTATATTATGTTATATTATATTATATTATATTATATTATATTATATTATATTCTGTTCTGTTCTGTTCTATTCTATTCTATTCTATTCTATTCTATTCTATTCTATTCTATTCTATTATACTATCTTATATTATATTATCTTATATCATATTATATTATATAATATAATATTATATTATATTATGTTATATTATATTATATTATGTTATATTATATTATATTTTATTATATTATATTATGTTATATTATATTGTATATTATATTATGTTATATTATGTTATATTATATTATATTATGTTATATTATATTGTATATTATATTATGTTATATTATATTGTATATTATATTATATTGTATATTATATTATATTGTATATTATATTATATTGTATATTATATAATATTATATTATATTATATTATATTATATTATATTATATTATATTATATTATAGTATAGTATAGTATAGTATAGTATATTATGTGCGAAACACTGCACTTTCTAAACCCTAAGCCCGAAACCCTAACCGGGCACCTGCAGGCTTCACCCCGAACCTGCCAGGATCTCCGTGATCTGATGAGGCGAGGGTTGCCCTTGGTAAGCCTAAAGCAACACAACTCCATCCCTAAGGCTCCATGTACCTTTAT